AAGGTTTTATTTTCAGGAAGAAAGGGTGGGAGGGAGGGATAGCTGCAGCTGGCTTAAAAATATGCCTCCTACAATTAAATGGTTATTGCAAAAATATATTGGATTTATTTAAAGCTGTTTGCTAAGGAACTATTTTGAAAGTATGAATCTTAAGCACAGCAAGAACTAGGTGGTAAACCAGCTTTTTCTTGATTTATCAAGAATTTTCAATATTCTTGGATTCAACAGCCACAAATTTTGCAGGGAGATTAAATCTCAGGGTGTCAGGGTAAATCTTGTGAAGCAGCTGTTCCCAGTCACTGGCAGAAAGTGGATACTGGACTAGGTGGACCCTGAGTCTGGTCTATTAAGACACTTCCTGTATTATCATGCTTTCTCACTACAGCTTCCTAATGTAGACATAAAAGCTACAATTTAGAGATAATTCCTAGCTGACAAGAGATGGGAGATGATGAATCACTTACAGGAAATAAATGAGAAAAAGGAGACTGCAGAGGCTCACTTACTGCTCCACAATAAAAAAAAATTGTTTCTGTATGTCTGTGAATAATGAACCTGATCATCACTACACACAAGACCAATAAAATCAATATAAATACCTCATTTATTTTAAACAGAGAAACTAGACTGTACTTACATTACATAGGATGTCCCTGCATTTCCTCCCTATTGACTTCCTTAAAACTGCAAGGAATCTATACAGATGATGTAGGAGGTGTAGTGATCACCAGGTTCAATAAATGCAGGGATACAATGAATGAGAAGGAGTATACAATAACCTTTTTTTGAGAATCAGTAGTCAACTACTGCAGACCCTTTGTCTGTCTCCAACTCACTAAGGTTTCCTAATTCCCAATTCCTGTAGTCTCCTAGGTAAGGGACTATCTCTGAAGTATAACTTCTATTACAACTTCTTCCCTCTTAACAATAAACACCAAAATCAATGAACACAACATTCCATTAATATCTATCTACAGAGAGGTGACCAAGGGCATGTGTAGATGAAATGGGGGCCCTAAATTGAATTGGTGGGTTTTTAAAAACACCACTTGAATTTAGGGCCAAGTAAACCATGTCATCCTCATACCCGTGCGCTTACCTGCTTCTCTGGTGGTGGGGAGAAGAGGGCGAGCTGCTGGCAGGCTGAGCGGTCCCTGGGCTATCGGGGGGGCAAGGGAGGTTGGTGCTTCCCCCTGTGGCAGTGGTAGCCCCCCGCCCAGGTGGCACCTACCCACAAGCACCCAGCTCAGGTGGTCTGTGGGGCACCACAGCCATGGGAAGAAGTACCAGGCCCCCACACAGTTCAGGCAGGTAGGCAGGCTTCGGGGGGGGGGGCAAATCACCACTTTTTTTTCTTGGGCAGAGCCTGCCTTCCTGGGCTGCTGCCGGGCAGTCTGCATAGGCTTCCTGCAAAGCCCCTGAGCTGCATGGAGCCCGGTGCTTCGCTGGCTGTAGGGCAGCAAACTAAAACTCAGAAGAGTTTTAGTTTGCTGCACCCCAAGTCATTTAAGGTACATTACGCCGCCAAATTTGCTACAGCAGCCGGAATTCCTGCACAATATGCCACCAACATGTGCAAGCACATGAAAAGATCATTAAAGCGGTGCAAAATCATTTAACCAGCTTTAAAGTGTCATGCACACATGCGTCTCGTTTCATCTACACAGGAGGTAAGCACTGTGGTGTATAAATTCACTTTTGAAATGGGGTGCCACTGAATTCAGAAATGTTATGGAGGTGTGATTTGAGTCCAGTGAGGAGTACCTCAAGTGCAAAAAGTGTGATAACAACTGTCTTAGATGAGCAGAATGTGTGCAAACAAGGAATTATATTGAAAAATGTTTTGACCTTACCTCCAACATGCCAACCCCCTCCTCCTTTTTTTTGCCTGTATTTTCAGAGAAGTGAAAGAAGTTATTCATAATTCAGAGCAAGAAATTCCAAAAAGTGTAAAAAATACAATAAAGATTTCTAAACAGAGGCTTAAAAGTGGCATTCCTATACACAGCACTAGCTTTTGTTTTGTGTTTGTGAATATCCTGGTGCAAAGAGATACTTGTCCGTGACTGGGATGCTAAAGTACATTGATAACAACAGCAGTAATGATTGCAAGGAAAGTAAATTCAGTGTAGTAATCTTTCCAAGATCTGGTGGAATAAGTCCATAATGGCTATAAGCAACAATAACAACAGTGACACTAATAATATACAGAAACATATGCAGACAGAAAGATTCTCATAAAAATAAGTCTGACCTTTCATAAATTATGTTTATAAAGCCACACATACAAGGATCATTTCCTAAGTTCCCATCTAGAATATTTTAGAATCCTACCATCAAACAATAACATAAACAACAACAACAACAATAACAATAATAACAAAAATAATAACAACAATAATAACAATTATAACAATAATAATAATAAAAGGAATGATTTCTTTCAATTTAGAAACCTGCGAAAGGTTATAATGATCTGGCAACTGACAAGATTGATCAGCAAAACGTGATTGTGGTCAAACACAACACCCTCCGGGCACAAGTGATCCCCCCTGCCAGCAACATGCTGAGGATGGTAAGATACATTTTGCAGTGCAATTTGTAAAAAAAATACAGACCCTGTCAGTGATATTAGCAGACCTGCAATGTCCTACTATTTCCCTGTTGTAGAGAATTCTCAATGAGAATCATTTCAAATGAAAGGAACCCTCTAAGGCCAGGGACAGAAATTACACATAAAAAGATATAAGTGACCAGAAATCAGCTCAAATCTGTAACACAACAGAAGTTCACTATACATAAATCACTTTCAAAATAGCCCAAACTGGTTTAAGATGTAGTATCAGACATAACTGATTTAGGTTAAATCTGTTTATTGAACTTCTGTCCCAGATCCTCTGCTTGTCAGTTCAATCTATGCAATTTAGACTTACCTGTGACGATTGAACTGACTCAGCCTCAGGCTTTTTGACTGACTGTACTTAGTTTAAATGCAAGAGAAGGAGCTTTCAAGAGACTTTTTTAAAGGCTGGATGTGTGATTTCCAAGTGTAGATTGTGCTGTATATTGTTCACTATATATTTCTAGTAGTAAGCAACTGAATGGCTAATATTTTTCATTTCATTAAGGAATGGAGTGATGCAGCACAAGCAAATGCTAAACGTTGGGCAGATTTGTGTACTTTATCTCATAGTCCTCAAAGTTATAGAACAACTGGTAAGTACAAGTATTTATATAAATAAATAATGAATTGTTCAGGTACTTACATGAACAATTTTCAAACAGCATAACCCCTTCCATATTTAGTGGGTAATAGATTCATAGATTCATAGATTCATAGATTAAAGGTCGGAATAGTATCTTACTGAAAGAACAGAATCATAGAATCATAGAAGTCGGGTCGGAAGGGACCTTGTAGATCTTCAAGTCCGACCCTCCGCCTGGGCGGGAGAAAAGACTGGACTCAAATGAGTCCAGCCACATAGTCATCAAGCCTCTTCTTAAAGATCCCCAGGGTAGGAGCCAGCACCACTTCCCTAGGAAGTTGGTTCCAGATCCTAACTGCCCTGACTGTGAAGTAGTTCTTACGGATGTCTAATCTAAATCTACTCTCTAATAATTTGTGTCCATTGTTCCTTGTCATGCCAGAGGGCACTAGGGGAAACAGTGTCCCCCCTAGTGAGTTTATAGACAGTCACCAGGTCCCCCCTCAGCCTTCTCTTGTGAAGGCTGAACAGGTTTAGGTCCCGCAGTCTTTCAATGTAGGGTCT